AAAGGGCACCCCTTTTAACGCACATACCCATCCGAAAGGAAGAACTGCATTTAGGGTGTTTGCATACACAGCCAAGGAGCTGCTCCGGCTGACGCTTGAATCAGCTCCCTGAGGCAACACTACGATCCTGAACACCCTCTACATACTAATGCTATGAGGGTTCAATCGTTTGGGATGCATGTACATACGCATACATTCCGGTTTTGCAAAGTATATATGTATATGTTTTCTTTGCATCAAACCCTTCAGGTGATGTGAGGTGGAAGTTTAACACCCCGGCAGCTAAACGCATGGGCTTGAATACTTTCTACAAGTAGGCCTCCGAAGCAGCTGGCAACCGAGCAGAGAGGACCACCTTTTTGAAACGTAAATTGACACGCGACATCTTCATAACTCCAAAGAATGTGGCCACAATTTCTTGAGAAACGCTTGGCTTCTGCCTCACTTCCCCTTCCAACCCCCAATCTGGTACCTGAACGTTTTCCAACACAACACAGGGGTGGGATGTCAGTTGCATATGGTAGTTTCCCTAGATAGGGGGACCCTAATGTCAACCCCAATATACTATAATCCTTATTAAGGTAACTCAAAATGGTACCCCTAGTTTTGTGAGAGTCTCTGGAGAAATTCCCTGGGCATCCCACGAATTGTTACCGAAGGCCCGGCGTTTCATCAAGGAGCCTGGCCACGCTGACACCTACGTGGGGCTGAAGGCGGCTGGCTGGTCAGAGAGGAAAGGGTGCTGGAATTTCTGAGCATGCTTCAAGCTGTGACGAAGAACAAGGTCAACTTCATCCCCCATCACAACCCTGACCTTGTCTTCTTCAATGAGCGCGACACTGAGTCTGCGTCAAAATTTTGCAGCTCGCGAGCATGCTCCACCATCACGTGCAGCAAAGGCACGGCGAAGAGCAGGAGAGGCTCGATCTCGGCCGCTATACCTTGCAGCAGATTCATGACCTCATGGCTGCCAAGGGCTTCAAGCGTGCCTGGGATTATCAATTGCCTACTCGTTTGTGAGAAGCTTGAGATTCACTTGAGATGTAAGGCAAGGAGCCCAAGAAGTACAAGGGCGAAATCCGTACCTGCAGCGGCTGACGCTTGAACCAGTTGCCTGAGGCTCGTCTTTGCAAAGCCGGTGGAAGGAAAGGGTGGCTTGAAAGCAGGTTCGGAAGTTCGTCCTCGGGCCTGGCAACGCTGATTCGTACGTCGGGCTGAGGTGCCTCAGTTGACGCAATGCCCAATCTCTAGAGCCCACATAGGGTTACACATCTGTCGTTTGAAGACGCCCACCGCTGTTTTCATACATGCTTGCTGCTGGTTAGCATGGAAGAAGGAATGATGATGAAAGACGAACAATAAGCAGTAGTCCTGGTGGTAGTAGTCGAAGAGTAGCATTGGCAGAAATCATGGTATCACTGATGATAGCGAGAGCCGTAGCAGTCCTCGTTTCCTCATTATCCGTCTACCATCAGCCAGTCGAAGGCTCAACTTTGTGCCCCACCACCCCCCAGTGTTCTACACATTCGATGAGAACGGCAATGAGAAGGAGGCGCGGCTCGGCAGCATTGGCTTCGCATCTCCGGTTTCTTTCCTGTTGGGCCAAAGCTGGCATAGTGCGACGGACCCGCCATGTTATAAGATGCCAGAAGAGGCTAGAACCCACAAACCCGCACAGCCCCCGGAATCAGGAAACGGTCCGTTACCAATCCCATATCCGAAGCTGTGCAGACAGCATTATCAAAATCACGGGGTACTTAACTCCACAAGTTCCAAAAGATGCGTCAAACATCTTGTAGTTGTAGCACTTCATGAAACACATGTAACGCCTTTAGACGAATATCCTTAAGCCCACTCAAGTCAGAGGCGGCGTGCGTAGTCAGCACAGGCCTGGAAGTGAGAAGCGGACCCGCGTTGATTATGACGATGCTGGGAGCCAGCATAGCTGCAACGGAAGTCCGTTTCACCAGTGTGTACGACTTTCCTGTATACCCCAACATGCCCCAGCCATCCCGGCCTCTCTGGCTTTTGCAAAGAGAAAGTCAGGGCTCAGATGTGCTCCTTATGCGTTTTTGGGAGTTTTCTGAGGTGGAGGAATCGGCTTGAGAAATAGTGGTCCCATGATGTGGGTCAGCGGCGAAGAAAACGGATTCGTTGCGCACAGCGGATTCGCGCACGTCGGATTGGCACGGTGGTCCGACTCATTCGCATGCTGGCCCGCAAACCCTACAGAATCCCAAAGAGAAAATTGAAAAGGATCCCGAACCTTAATCCAGAGAACCCCAAGTCCTGAAACCTAAAGGGCCCTAAACCACAAACCCTAAAGAAACGTGAAGCAGTGCTGAAGAAGGTTTCGGTCTGTTGCCTCAGCCAGCGGCTGCATGTCTTGAAAGCCTGCCATGTAAGTGGCCACAAGACTTCTTGCGGCTTCCTGCCATTATCTGCCGCCCTATCGTCGGTGTGGGATGGGATTTGGTATGTTTCCGGTCCCGTAGTCTTGGTCGCCTCTGGTCTGCCTGCTGGAGGTGATAGGTGTCTCCTAAGTTTTTCCACACAAATTCAAGATAGTCTTCCACGTGCTGCTGCGTGCGGTGATCCAAGCGTCAGGTTTGAGTCCATGCTGCTTTGCGAGGTTACAGCTGCTGGCGCGCTTTGCATGTTTGTGCGCCCTATACTAGAAAAGCTTTTCGATCCATCCCAGAAGTGGACTCCACGCCGGTAGCTTTTCTTCCGCGTGAACTTGCTTCTCGTTGCTGTGCACCTGTGGCCATGCAGGGAGCATGTCGTGGATGTGGGTACTCATGTCAGTCTCGTGTGGATAGGGCCATAGCCCGCCAGCTTTTGCCGGGGGACGGACGCGAGGCCACTGCCGCCCTACTGTATGGATGGTCTTGTTGCATCCAGGTCTGCCAGCACGGAGACAACCACGCCTTGAAACCTGCTGAACTGCTGAGCATCCAACACAGTAACAGGACCAGCATGGAGGGCAGCAGGGCCAGGGTGGGATGCGAGCAGGCCTCAAATCTGGTTCAAGCTAATTGACATCACTTGAAGCACGCTGAAGCAATTGTATTGGCCGCAAAATGAAGATGAGCGGTTTGTGGGTACTTCATCAGGGGAACCAGCAACTGTCAACACTGCAATGGCAGAACAGTACACTTAGGAAAATAAGGCTGCATGGGCGACAGAGGCGGTGTGGGCGGCAGATTTTATCTATCTACGTTTTGATGAGCTCTTTGTGTGTTGGTACAGAAGCTATCATGACTGATACGATCAATTCAACTTTCTTGCCCTTCAACCGTTCAATCACGCAGGCCTCTGAACCCTCCCAGCGTTTGCCTGCAGAGACGTTGCCTAAGGATCGACATGAGTGATTACTCATTGGTGGGCTTGCAGGACAGCGTTTAAAGCCAGCAGATGGGAGCAATCGCCAGTGTCAGCAAGATTGATCTAGCTTGCTTGTTGGTTTGCTTGGCTCGCCATTTTCAGTGTTATGCTCGTGATGCTTCCTGTCTCTACCATTCACTGAATATCTGGTAACTATGCAGGAGCTCATGGCAGAGAAGGGCTTCAAAAAGAAGGAGCTGCTCTAAGCGATGTTTGCTTCTGGGCTGCAGCTGTTTCTTAGCTGCAGCCAAATGTACAAAGAAACAACACGAAACATGGAGATCTTAAGGCTGGAGTCGTGTGCTCTGTAAAGATGCACATAACCTGCTGTTTCGGCATTTTTTTTGCACTTACGCTGTGGTTTGCATCGAGCGTCCAGCCAGCATGCTTGGCTGCTACGGAGTATCTGTGCAGCGAGTGCCCCCGGCACCTATGAAGCTTGTTATGGTGGCATGTGCAGCTCCAGGCACTGAGGGCATTTTCATTGACAGCAGCTGAGGATACTTGGGGCCGTAGAACCATAAACTGCCAATGTGTCTGGAACGATGCCATGTGCAAGCTGAGCGTTTGCCGGACCGCTGTGCTCGTCTCTTGATATTTCATGCAGCCAGGCTTGGCAGTGCATAAGCCAACAAACACCTCCACCATCCTTAATAGCTGAGATGAGCAGGATTGCTCAAACGCAGCAACTGCGAACGAGCAAGGCTAAGAACACCGTAGTTAGCCACACCCCACCAGCCCCTAGTCCCAGTCTTGCACAGATGCTGTCGCAGCCAGAACTGTACCAGTGAACGTGGCTGATTGAGTGTGCCCGCTGCTACGTTGCTGCCGGTGTCAGCTCCATTTGACAGTTGCCTGTTATAGGGATAATGGAAAAGAAAATGGAAACTGCTCTAGTTTCATAGGGTCCCTTTGAAGGGATATATGGGGGTTATGTAGGGGTTATATTATTCGAGCCATTTGAGGGACTCTTCCTTCGGCTGACACAGGTTGGCCCTGTGGCTCTGCGTGGTCATGAAAGGTCATATGCTCACTGCTGCCGCTCTTCCGCCGCGTCAGCCTGCAAAAGGGACAAAAACAGGGCGCAGTTGCACGAACACGCTTGGTCTCACATCCGAGTTTCTCAATCCCCATGGGCTCCAGCACATCAGTTTACTGGCGGCTAGTAGGGAATAAGGGAATGTAGTCTTCATAGAATCCCTATATTCCGTTATTCCCTACGAAGCCGCAGTGAATCAGATATGTGGAAGCTCAAATTTGCCGACAGGCCAAAGCGGCTTTTGATGAGGCCAAGACTGTGTTGGACTCGGCTGAGGAAGCTTCCTGTGACAAGGAGGCTGGGCATAGGGCTTAGGCTTTCCAGGATGTAGTTTCAGGTATTAGGGCTTAGGCTTTAGGGCATAAGGGGTGGATGGAAGGGACCAGGGTTCAAAGTTGAAGTTCAGTGTCGAGAATGTTTCTGCTCCTGCGGGACACAGGTAGATGTAAGGCGACTCAGAGAGTCGGGCTCAGAGAGTCGGGTGAGTCAAAGAGAAAGAGTCAATGCGACTCTATTTCAATCGAAGTCCCGTGGATAAAATCAGAGGAAGTTAGTTATCTTAATGCCTCAGTCCAGCGGACACCCGGCATCAGACGGGCCCTTTGCCCGTTGACAGCTCTGACATGCTTGATGAAAAGCGGTGGGCTCTTCAAGTATAATCTATATCTATCTAGACTTCGTGAAGGGGGATTGGATCCTGTACGAATTTCCAGACGCTTCTAAAGCATCTCCAAGCACTCTGTTCAGGTGGCCCTAGTTCAGGCAAAGACGCAAGTGGAGGAAACCCAGAAAGGCTTGGAGGCTGGCTTTGTGTGTTAAGGGTTCTAAGGGTTAGGATTGACGCCTTAGGGCTTTGGCTGGGGTGTAAGGTTTAGGGCTCATGGTCAAGGGTTTATTAGCCTTCGGTTTCGGAAGAGGACTTTCTCTTGAGAGGGCTACGTCTTCAACTAACGACCCCTCTGGCTGGTCGCTGACACACGAGGCGTATAATTACAAACGCCCAAAGTCGGACACACCAAGCTCAGCATTTGAAACCAAAACTCAAACATGATACTGCGGTGGTTCTCATGAGGCAAAAGCCAAGACGATTGAGGCTGCTGTGGGCGAGGTTGACGCATTTGCAGAGGCAATGCGGCAACACATGATTTTGAAGCCATCAGTATGTGCTGCTGCTCATGAAGACGAACAGTTGGAGCAGATAGCCAGCGCGCAAAATGGTCACAAGTTTGGATTTTCAGCATCAGGTCCTGTCGATCTTCACAGAGGTTGCCGAGAGATCGCATCCCCCCGAGATCGCAGAGGACACAAAAGGCGCAGAGGGCGCAGAAGACGCCAAGCCACCGGCAGAGGCGCAACTGTGCTGTGCAGGCTGCTCCATCATCTGATGCTTGTTCTTTTTGACAGGCAGCAGCCGCTTCAGCTGAGCCCCCCAAAGTCAAAGACTCAGCAGCTTTTCCGAAACCGCGTGTTTTAGCACAAATGTTTGCTAAGGCTTGAGCTGCTTGTGTGTCGGTGAGGACGGCATGTCTTTCAATTGACAGCATGGTATGAACATGTATTTGCTTGAGAATCTGCGGCTGAGTGCTGCAATGGAGAGTGGCCATGCATGTTTGCAAAGCAGGAGTTCTGCGCTTTGCAAGAAGCGACAGTGAGCTGATTTGCAAATCCAATTCAACTAATGAGATGCAGAACATGCTGATGTCCAAGCGCGGGACGAGTTGCTATAGGCTGAACCTTGCGCTTGGAAGGTGTGAGCAGGGTGATTAGGACATGCAGTGCTTGCGATGGGGAAATCGCATTTGTCACTGCCTCCGTGTATTTTAGATTGCAGACGCTCAGTCTAATGTGCTGCGTCAGATATCCGCGAGCGCTTGCGGCAAGAAACGATACAGCCGCACGTTGGCAACGGGTCCGGACGGTGGCAAGCTTTCGCTCACAGCCCCATGATTGTTGTGCATTGGTAGTCAGCAATTGTGCGACTCCGTGCCACTTGCCGCAGGCGCAAACTTATTGCGCTGGACGACCTCGCCATAGCATTTGAGCAGGACTTCCGCAAGTTGGGTATGCATTCTGCTGCCTTCTGGTCAGTCTTTCAATATTTGTGCAATGTGCCAATGCCGGAAGCGCTGAACTGAAGTTGCCAGGGCAAGAAAGCAGCACCCTTGGAACAGCGCAGCCGCCATTTTTTACAGTCGCAGTCCCTAGAAACACTGGACGAGCGAGAAGAGCGTGTACCTCTTGGATTCATGGCAGGTGGGCGCGTGACATCTACCGTCGAATTGCACTCGCAGCTGAGCAAGCAGTTACGTAGTTGGATATGCTACATTGAGATTTACGTTGTGAGTTCCAAGCCCGACTTTCCTTGCGCTTTCGCTACAAATTTGGAAGCCCAAATTACTGTCCAAGCAGGACTTCTAGATTAGAAGAGGAACCGGCTAAGCATCTTTCTGCGTCTTGATTCTTTTCCTAGCTTTAATATTAGTAAAAAGAGTAAAACTAGTAATCATACCCGTATCACTACTAATAGTTATAAATGAATAATTGTCATAATAATAGTAATGTAATATGGATAATAGAGATAACAATGATAGTAGTTATCCTCACCTAAGGCTCTGAGGAGGCAAGGCTGGTCTGTGCGGGAGGCGCAGATGGATTTTGGACTTCGTGCATCCCATCAATCTGACTAACTGGGGATACTGGGGGTCAGTGGGGAATAAGGGAATATCATAAAGGGATTAAAAAGGGGAAATAATCTCTGATTCCCTACTAACCACCAACCAGATCAAGGAGGCTGCTGCTTCGTGTGGATGTCCTTGGGCTCTTGTCTCACAGGCCTTCGACATGGTGGCCAAAGATCGCAGGGCGCAGAAGAGCGAGTTCTTCAGCTTGGTGCCCCACTCAGGGAGTGTGGCTGCAGAGGTTCTCAGGCGCTATTTGCGCAGGAAGAAGGGAAGAACAGGGGATGACTGCCAGGTGAACAGCCTCGAGCTTGGTCTTCGTTCCGAGCAGCTCGAGTGGCTGTGCCCTGACTGATTTAGAATTGAGATTATTTGCAGGGCAATTTCATGGTGCCCGAGAAACCCAGTAAGCCTTAGCCGCATCAGGTGGAAGCTATCGGACACAAACACAGACGGCCTCTTGGACTACATCGAGTTTGCACAGCGCATCGCCGAGGCAACAGAAAGTGTTGAAGTCAGCCATGCCTAACTTCTTATTGTTGTTATTATTACTACTATTGTTATTACTATGATTGTTATTACTATTATTGTTATTACTATTATTGTTATTACTATTATTGTTATTACTATTATTGTTATTGTTAGCACGTTAACAGAATTCTTGTGCAGGTGACCGGCATCAGCACAACAGCGTTCCCAGTGCCCAGACCCGATGAGGACCCTTTCCCAACTACACTTTTTGATTCCAGCTAACCTTTATAATATTATCCCAATATGAAACCAATATCACCCCAATATTATAGTAGCTTCCATTTGATTATCCATTATCCCAATATGAAACCAAGGGGGATATTGGATGCTTATCCCCTGCCTTGCAGGATGTGCTGGAACCTCCCAGCGCAACCGTCTCCGCCTTCGACGCGGCAGCGGGCATGTCTGAAGCCGGGCCACTGAGATGATAACAATAATAACAATAGTAGTAGCAATAATAATAATAATAACAATAATAGTAATAACAATCATAGTCATAACAATAGTAGTAATAACAATAGTAGTAATAACAATAGTAGTAATAATAACAACAATAAGAAGTATGTCTGGCTGACGTAACAGGCTTGGCATGACATTTGCCTGGCTCGTCTCCTCTGCGGCTTCCAGGCGCGAAGAAGCGATGCTGTGGAAGAGATATGGGCAGTTTGACTCTGTTGCAAGGAGCTTGGCTGGAGTATCGATAAAGTAAGGACCCCAGGAATTCTTAAGAGTGCAAGTTGTACATTCATGCCGCCTGCAGTGATGGGCTGACTGTGCCGTCCCTTGGGCACCAGTGTCATGGCCTAGGCCATGGAGCAGCTACCTGTGCGGGAGGAGGGCTGGCCTTTGTCAAAATCTGTCACTTGAATCCGTGTCACAACACAAGCTGCAACAGTAGGATTCATGAGCAGGCCTCAGGCTAGCTAGATGCGAAGCTGCCTGAGCTAGCTCAGCTGGTGTATCTGCTTCGGGGCTTGCAGGGTGTGGTTACAGAGAGCTGTAGAGTCTACCCTGCACAGGACGGACTGGTGGCACGAGCAGAACTCCTCATGCCAGCTGCCTGCACTTGGCTCATGGAGCGCGAAGATTCTCAAGCAGAGCAAGCATCAGGTTTGCCACGCGATGCCGGGCTGGCCTTTCGGACTGGGAGTTGGACAAGGTGGCCGCATGTTTGTCTTCTCGTATGGTTTCGTCGCTCTTGATGCTCTTGGCAGGTCTTTGCTCGCCTCGACGGGGAGATGCGGGGAGCTGTTCCCAAGCGTACCATCAGGACTGATGGTCGCACAGCCAGAAAGCTGAAGAGTTTTGCTCCAGATGTGTGCGGAAGGACCGCGCTCATGCGCTGCGATGTAATGGAAGCACCCGCGCAGGCTCTTCACAGCTCAGCCTATGGCGTGTGCTCGTGTGTGTGTGTGTGTGTGTGTGTGTGTGCGTGAAAGTCAGGCATCCTTGCGGCGTGCCGCTGAATCAAGAAGCCAGATGCACCAGGAAGACTGCCTGGCAGCAGCTGTGTCTCGCTTACGGTTGACCTGGCAGGAGCTGCTGCGTTACAGGCCAGCAACAACTTCCGCAGCTTTGCAGAACATATTCGCAGAGGCTTCGCGCTTGACACTTGAATAAGTGAGAGGAGAGCCTGTCTTCGTGCAGCATTGGCCAGGTGGCTGCATGTCGAGAGCCCCTGGTGGTCAAGCGAGAGGTCCGCCTCTGGAGGAGCAGAGGGTTTTTGTAAGAACTTTGCCGGAGGAGCTCGCAAGCGCCGCAGCTCGCCTGGGCGTGGAGCAGGCAGATGCCGGAAGTTTCCGACGAAGCATCGAGCTTCAGTGAGTGTTCTGAACTATCTGAATTGAACTTGGGAAGGGTGTGCGGCTGCGAAGCAGGTGTGGATGGATGAGCTTTGGTTCGCTGCTCCAAAGCTGCGGGATGACACGCTGGACATCGACGTCTTCTGCAGGCACGCTACGGCCTCAGTGGCAAGCTGCAACACCTGTCGACTGGAGCGAAATGAAGCCAGCAATCTTGCTGTTAGCATTTCCTAGGTGGAAGCATCGCCAATGCCCGGGGAGGGATCCGTTGATGCCCTTTCGGACCGGAATTTCGGCTACATGTGTCATTTTGACATTTCTGTGCTGAATGCAGTGGCAGTGGCACACTCCTGCCATGCTTTGAGAATTGAGAGATGGCTCTGGGGCTCACCTCTTGGGAACGGTCAGACTGTAGAATGAAATGGAAAAGGACATGGAAACCAAGCCTCGAACTCCGGGTCCAGTGACTCATGGAACAACCACTGACCCTAACCTGGGTTTCCATGCGTAGATGACCACAATGTAGACCTCAATATACCGCAAGTTCGGGCATAATTCTCTATCATCTCTTCCCAATCACTAATCACTAATTAATCTGTGCGCCTTTGGATCGTAGTTGCAGGATGAGCATGCTGCCATCCTACTGGGGCGTCTCGGGCGAGCTCTCCAAAGTGCTGGGGGTGTCGAGAAGGCGCGCAGCTTATTACGGAAACTGAAGCAATTGGTACAAGTGCAGCATACTCTGTTCACACACCCCTTCAACCCCTGTGCTGACGCTTTGAGCCCTCCTGGCTCCGCCAAGACGAAACCCAAAGTCATCAATCAGAAGATCGTGGTAAGGTCATCATCCATGGTTCGTGAAAATTTGTCATGACATCAAATATGACGATCGGCATAATCATCGAACTCCTGAATCCTGAAGCCCTAAACCCGAGACTCAAACCCAATGAGAGCAAGACACCTGCACAGAGCAACATCCCTCAGGCCTTCCACAGCTTCAAGACTGGGGCCGATGGTTGCCCAGCTCCGAGTTTCTGCGAAGCGAGTGCTTAATAGGGACATCAGCGAAAAGGGAAACAAAGCACCGATGCTGCCGATACCCGTGAAGTTATCGAAGCGCTTCGGGTGCTATCAGCTCTTTGCGCTTTGAAAGGTAGCGCAGGACCATGCGCAGTGGAGCTGCTAGCAGCTCAGGGGCAAGAGAGAACAAGACAAAGGTGGTTGGCACACCAAGCCACCAGAGGTCATTGCCATCTTTTCAAGCTCACTTTCTCCCATCTGC